TTAGTATGGAGTCGAAGGCAGGTGGGCTGGGAAGGTACATTGATCAGTTCAATTTATTGATTTTTGGTTTTTAAATAGGCTAAATTAATTAGATATTTTTATTAATTTTGATCTTTAATGATTCATGTTTCGATTTAACTAATAAGAAAATACTTATAAACAAATATGTGATTTCTCCAATAATTTGATGCGACAAGACAATAATGTAACTTTACAGAGAACTCACAATAATAACTAATATGAAAAGAACTATACATACAAGTGCAACACAAAGAGAAATAATTAAGGAAGTAGGGTTCTTAATTTAGGTTTTAACATTTTGTATAATGTGAAATGATGAACTCAAAGTCACCGTAAAGTGTGAATGGAAAGCTAAAGGACAAAGACAGTAACCAGTAAGGTACTGAGATTAATAATTAATATTTATGTAAGAGTAAATAGTAAATTACTACTGTCTTAATGGATTATCGATCAATAACCTAATATTAAAAAATCAAAATCGAACTGATAACCCGATATTTTTTTAAAAGAAAATCATTAAAAACTCGTTAACCTAATAACCAATAATATAAATCAACAGTATTTTTTTCGATTCAATTTATTGATTTGTTCAATTTTTGAAGGAGAGGAGTGGAATTTGGGGAGGAAAATTTATAAGCTAATAACTAATGCAGATTTAAGTTATTTTAACATATATGTCCAGTCATATATTATATAGTTCATGCATTACATTACATTAATACAAAATGCTTTTAAATATAATATATATATATTTCGTAGCGACTAATTGATTTATTAAATATTCCTCATATTTAATCGTACATTATTAAAGGTAAAAATATGACTGGCCAGATTTAATTCCTTACTCAAAACTCAAAAGGTTTCTCATTTATTCATTTACCTTATGCTATTCAATTATTAGTTATAATAAGATTACTATGAAATATTAGGGCCCATAATATTCCAATTAGCGCCAAACACAAAACCTAAATAAAACACAATACTTATCACTTCACATAAACCTTTTTTTAGGGTTTGCACACATCTCGACTAATTTCATTACGATAAAAACATATTATAATGAAACATCTTCGTCAATGCAATTTGTTTATTCATGAGGAAATCATAATCAACATACTGAATCGTTTGCCTTTGAAATCGCTAGCTAGGTTTAAATGTATATCCTATAATTGGCAAAAGTGCATTGCTGAAATTTATCGATGTCGTCTCGGTTTTCCTGAACCTTACTTGATCGGTTTCTTTTGTGTAGAGAAACGTTTGCGAAGTCGTTTCTTCTTCACATCGAAAGAATCGCCACTATTAATTGGTACTAATTTGGACAAATCAATCGATTTCATCGGTGAGAGAGTGTATATTGTTGCTTCTTCCAATGGTTTTGTACTATGCAATAGGCTTAGAAGTAGGCATAGGGTTTATTATGTTTATAATCCTGCCACAAGGCAGCGTTTGGATGTCCCTAAAACTCTAATTCATATGAAAGATCCTTATGTTGGATTTACTTGTAAAGTAGATGAAGATCATGGCATTGTCTCGTTTACTATAGTTCGTTATGTAATTAGGAAACGCTATCAGTCTAGTATAACAATTGAAAGTTATTCTTCGGAGACTAATGTGTGGATTGCTAATAATGTCATTCATGATTTACTTTATCCATTGCAGCCTAGTAGGGATGAGAATTACTTATCATCACGTTGTGTAATTGATGGAGTATTCTGTTGGATTGATAATTTTGGACAAGGGATGACTGTTTATGATAGTGTAAAAAAGTGTTTTTGGGGTTTGACATATCCTCAACCAGGGTGTATGATCTATCCAGGTTTTCATTTTCTTGGTTTATCAGGTGGAGAAGTCTGTTTTGCATCGAAAGGTTGGACCATCCCTTGTTGGAGACTCAACAATTTTCCTAGTAGAGATGCAGAATGGGTTTGGAAGTATAATGTAGATGTTGTTGCTATAATTGAGAAATGTGGAGAGGATTTTGGACTTGGAGGAGGGAATGTTCAGAACATAGTTTTTCATCCTGTTTTTCCGGACATTTTGTACTTGCAAATAAATGGCAAGGTTATCTCTTATGACGTGAAAACGAGTACTGTAGAACTTGTCTATGATTTTGGAGAAGCTGGGCGGAAGACAAAACATTACAAATTGTTTTCCTATGAATGGCCTCAATGACCGCGTCTCAAGTAGACCATCAACAGGTATTACATATTTATACTTGTTTAATTTTTTTCATTCGTGATGCAGGGTTTGCACTGTTTTCCATTGTACTTGTATGTTGTTTAATTTGTTTCAATTATCGCACTATTTTGTTGTTGCTCCCTTCTGGTAGACTTTGCACTGTTTCCTTGTGACTTACTATATTCGCTTCACTTTTTCCTTCTTCTTTGTATCTGGATTTCACTGAGTATGTTGTTGTTTGCTATGAGCTTGAATTTGTGAGATAGTTTCTTGAAGTTTCTGCAGCTTCACAGAATCATATTTACCACGAATAATGAATTGAGTTCAATCATGAGTTTCTCGAAATTTTGTTGACAACACCAAATAATTCCATGTGGTGCAGCTTGTTTCTCTGAGTAATTTCATTAGCATTTGTCCATTTTTGTTCCTAACTACACCACCAGCTCCTGTTCTGCCTTGGTTGGCCTGATTTTTTCGCATATTCTGTATGTAGAGATAGATTCTTACCATACTTCTTTCAGCATCTGCCTTTCCATAGTTTCCAACATGTTATTACTGGGGTGATACGAAGCAAGAACGTCCTACGAACTGTGTTCTTGCTTATTTACTTTGAACTTAGATATAGATAACTTCTTTTTAGACTTATAGTAGGAAGGGCATGAACCTTGTTGTACAAAAGAAGTTGTGTTGATATCAGGCCTTATCATGACATGTCTCTTCCTCTTACATGTTTACCACATTCTTTTCAATTGTTTGTCTCTAAAGGACTAGTTTCTGTTGTGATGAGACTATCCAAACACTAGCCAATTACGAACAACATCAATGTTGAACTAGAGGTCTTGTTGTAAGGATTGAGGCTCGCGCACATCCATGACTTCACTCCCCTTGACATATTTTCTAGATGAATAGGAAGTCATTAACAAGTTAGTCGATGACAACTTATGTTATGCTAATATCATTCGTGATTGCAGGTTCTTGTAATCAGGAATGCTTTATTACAGGGAACGGAACATGTTGGTAGATTGTTGAACAAGTACAGATGCAGAAGAAATAGGAACTGTCTTCTTGTTCGCACTCTTTTTCATGTTGATTATGATTTATCAAACAGTATATCTGTGTGGCTGGCGCGATGGAATCATGTTCTCTATAACGATATTTCATTGTGAGTGTAATTACTTTCTTTAGGAGCCAAAATACAACAATTCTAGTTGTGGTGGCTTTATTTGAAACCTATAGATTATTAATAGTTGGTATTCTTCAACGTTGTTACTAATTCCCTGCTACATTTTCCAGTTCATTGTTATTCACCTCTATTTTGTCCATCCCGCGCCCCTTTTCTTTGGAAAAATATATATGTTAAGTTGATTTCCTACGAAATCTTCCTCTAAAGAATTCAAATTTTAGATATGAACTCAAACACAGAGAAAATTAAGGGGCTGCCTGGTTACATCAGGCCCATACTGGACCAAAGTTGGGCCATTTTTGGTTATAACAATGAACTAAGGGTCATTTTGTTTAATTTACTCAAATTTCATTATATCAGGCCATACTGAATCGAACAGAACTAATTTCAATTCAATATGCATCAGTGAAAAACTGAAATCCGAACAGATCATTTTAGTCATACTTTATTAAAGACAAAAGTATGATAGATCAGATTTCATTTACTCATTTGTGGAAAAACTTTCATTCAAAGGATTTCTCATTAACTTTGTAGATTATGTAATTAATATAGTCAATATATAGTACATTGTTGAAACGACTTTGCAAATGTTTCTCTATGCAAAAAAAACCAATTAGATAGGGTTCATGCCACTGGAACGACAACAGTAAATTTCAGCAATGAACTTACGCCAGTTCTTTGATATACTTCTAAACTTTGCTAGCGATTTTAAAGACAAACGATTCAGTATGTTGGTTATGATTTCCTCACAAACAAACATTTTGCATTGATTTGATCAGCATAACTATGAAATATCGTTAAAGGGAACATGATTCTATCGCGCCAGCCACACAGATATACTGTTTGAGAAATCAAAATCAGCATGAACAGAACAAAAACTTTGTCCTACTACTTAGGCATTACCAAAATGGCGCGAACAAACAGACAGTTCGTCTGCTTAAAACAGATAATGCAAAAACAAGGAGGAACTGTTAAAAACCATGATTTTACTTCCATCCATGCTGCTGGATCTATACAAACATGTTTTGTATCTTGTTAATGACTTCCTGTGCATCTAGAGATATGTCAAGGGGAGTGAATCCATGACAGTGTTCGAGCCTTAATCCTTGCAACAAGGCCTCTAGTTCAGCATTTACATTGTTCATATTTAGTACTCCTTCTGTTTCAATTTCTTTGTTTTACTTCTCAACCACAGCCTTCGATACTGGTGTAAAGGCAGTAATATAAAACTTGTGTACTTTTTGAACTTTAGTAGCAACATCTATAGCATACTTCCCAAAAATTTGAGTTGTTTAGTGGAAGATTTGAGCTGATTGAAGAGATTCGAAGTTCACATTTCAAAACTCGACATGCTGCCTGCAAACATGATTTGTTTCGAATGAATAATATATCATCCTCCTGCACAGGAAACACTAAATATTTTGGATGAAAACCATCCTACTATGTATGAACTCGATCAAATCCTGTGATTTGTGTCAGTCGCACGGTTGTATAGTATGAGAAATCATAATCAGCATGAACAGAACTGTCACGACCCAAAAAAACAAGGACATGCTGGCACCTATCGATAACCTATCAGCGATAGGTAAGCAAACACGGAATAAAGGCAGATAAGTAACGGAAGTAAAGTTTTAAGGTCATACTTTCATAAATCAACACAGAAATTCAAAAGAAAACAAATACAACCTGAAAAATCCAGTGACATGAGTATGAATACGAAATAAATACAACTGTCCGAAGGATAATGACAGGAAATAAACAAGATAGAGACGTCCGGAAGCTATAGAACAGCCAAGCAACTACATCTGGGAACTTCGATAAATTGCCAACTCAAAAGAGAGAATCACCTAGTGCTAGTACTGGTCTCAGAACCTGCACAACAGAGGTGCAGAAAGCAAAGGTGAGTACAAAAGAGCACGTGTACTCAGCAGCAACAACGACTGACCTTAAAGAAGCGATAGTGTTGGACAATTATACAACACTTAGTCACAAATAAACAAAATAAAACCTTTATATCAGACGGACTAGCAGCTAAAGACAACGTCAAATGTTCAAAATCTGAAACCAGCTACAATCAGAGATTTCTACAATAAGCTCAAACCATAGAACACCGGCTATTTAAGCCAACTCAACCAATAGAGATGAAAATAAGGCACTTTCATAAACACTTTATAGTGGCTCCATATCAGCAAAACTGTTTTTGTACAACAAGTGTCATTCCCACCCTACTATAGTCCATAAAAAAGTTCATGAAAAAGGTACATATATCTAAGTTCAAAGTAAATATTAGTATTAGAAGTATTCATTGATCAAAATTTTCCTCATCATTTTCTCGTATGCATTGATCAAAATTTTATTTTTTGGAAATTGTTCTATTCCATTACAATTTAGGAAAAAACAAGAAGCAAACATAGGCTTGAATGCTTAAACCTTGTTCAATTAAAGTGTAGAGGCAAATATGACCCTTTTTCGTTATTTTTTTCTTGAGGGTTAATGCAAGACCTTATCCTAGCAACTAAATGGAAACAAAGGGAGTTGTTGTGTTATATGTTACTTCTTCCATCCCAAAATAAGTGTTACTTTAGCTCATTTTGCACCCATTAAGAAAAATTATAAAATAGAAGGTATAGTTTTTTGTCTTAAATTCCTAATTAAGGTGACAATTGTTTACGAATATTTTTTTAGGTTAAAATAACACTTACTTGGTACGAATGGAGTACTAATTTTACTTATTATATGTAACAACAACATAACCAGTGTAGTCACCACCTAAGCCTACTAATATGGAGCAACCTTGGCAGATTATTACTTCTACTAAGGGGAGAGTTGATGGTCCAAATGTGACAGGGGAAACTATTAGTACTAAATAAGCACCGGAAGTAGGGAATACTAATGAGCTAGAATTATCTAATAACATTAATTTTGGGAAGAGTCCGAGAGGAAAATCTGGGGTACACCACTCACTCCACGACAAAAGATCGGAGGTGGTCTCCAAACTACCAAATGAATTGGCTATTTTGGAATGTGAGAGAGGTAAATAAACGACATAAACAGAGGAGATGAGGAATTTTCTGAAAATAAATCACGTCAAACTTGCTGGATTAGTCTAAACAAAAGTCAAGGAACTTACACTGGAAGTATATGACAAAGTATTGCTCCAAATTGGAAGATGGAAGGTAACTATCACAAGGCTATCAATGGTAGGGATCTGGATCATCTGGGACCCAACTTATATGAAGTAGAATGCATAAGAAAGGAAGCTCATTTGTCACAATGTCATGTGAAAGAAAGGCAAGGATCAATAGATTGTCTAAGGGTAAAATACTAGTAATCACAGTACACCTCTTTGGGAAGGACTGCAAGAGGTAGCTGTGGGAAATAACTTACCATGACTCAGTGACATGTTTCTTCCCCAAGATAGAATGTTACTTATGCTGAAATCAGAGACTATTCAGATTGTATTGCTAATCTAATATTATCTGAGCTTCAACAGAAAGGAGATTATGACACTTGGTGCAACAAATTGACACAATGAAACAGTAACCGCACTTGTATTAATAACCTTTAACTCAACTTACAAGTAGTAGATGTATTGAAGTCTCTAGAATCAGAAATTACAAGGTAAAATGCATAAGTAAAATAGCTAATGATAGAAGAAGAAGGAGGAGGTGAGGAACTTAGAAGAAATTGAGAGAGAAAGAGTGTCCACTCATAACAATCAAATAGCCTGTTGTGCAATGCTCCACTCATGTGCCTACTGTTTTGCCAATTTTACCCTTCTTCACGTGAACTTCCCCATTCCGAAACGTAATCCCCAAGTCTTAGGAGGAATGACCTTTCTAGAAGTCCTACATGGCAGTCCCATGTGCTCATCCTGAGTGGCGTCCTAGTCAATAATATTCTCATTCACAACTTTACTCCATCCCTGGAAAGCAACCTTCTCCTCAAGGTTGGACTCAACGAGATCCTCTGTAGTAGGAACACTCAGATGCATAGGTGTCACATGTTGATCCGAAGTGCCAACACAACGCTTCAACATAGAAATATGGAAAATAGAACGGATTTTTGCAGATTCAGGAAGTTCCAAGCAATAAGTGACGGGGCCAATGCTTTTTAACACCTGATAGGGCCCAAAATAACGCCTCCCAGGTTTATGATCTCGCTGCAAGCGTAGAGTATTCTGGTTTAAGTTTGACATACACCCAATCACCCACTTCAAGGAAGGTATCAGTCCTAGACTTATCAGCACAACACTTCATGCGGTTCTGAGCCTTCAATAAATTGTGTTTGAGGATGTGCAAGACTTCATTGTGCTGCAGCAGATAGGACTCAACCAGTTCGTTTGCAGTACTCCTGAAAATGTACCGAGCAACAGTAGGAGGTTCACGGCCATAGAGAGACTAAAAAGGAGTCATACCATCTGAAGTTTGAAACAAAGTATTGCACCAAAATTCCGCCCATGGAAGCATAGCAATCCACTGGGAAGGCACAGTGTTATCAAAGGCGTGCTTTAAGTGCGCTTAAGCCCTGAAGCGAGGTTCAAAACATGTTGAGCGCTTTGCCTCGCTTTATGTGCGCTTCAGTGTCGTCATCAAGGTTCTAAGGCAAACTTTTCCTTGACAATGAGCCGCTTATGAAGAAGTGACACTAAGCAATTGATATTTCACTTTATCATAAAAAATTTTAAATTTCTTTGGTCATAAATGTGTCATTCATGTTTATAATTATTAATCTTGGACTAAACATATATATTTGTATTTTTTTCTCCCTTTGCGCCTATTTTCATTAAAGCCTACACTTTATTTGCGCTTAAAGCCTCCACGGACTTTAGAGCTTTTTTGTGCTTTTCGCCTTTGATAACACTGAAGGCACCTCAGCGACGTAACAACGCAAATATTCATTTGTTAAGAGCCTCAGATTGTCCATCTGTTTGAGGATGATAGGCTGCACTCATTAACCTTTTATTTTATTAGCCTAATATATTAGGCTAATGGTAAGGATTTTACTTAAGTCATGATAACTTCTATAGCATTTGAACTCACTTGAAGGCTGCCTACCACAATACATTAGCTTTTAGGCTCTAGTCACTAACACTAAGCAACTATATATATATTTAACTTCGAAGTAGATCGAATACTAAATAAGTAGATGTTAGTAATACCTGGCTACAGAAGACGCGGCCATTGAGGCCACTCATAGGAAAACAATTTGTAGCATTTTGTCTTCCGCCAAGCTTCTCCAAAATCATACACAAGTTCTGTCTTACGAGTTTTCACATCATAAGAAATAACCTTGTCTTTTATTTGCAAATACAAGATGTGTGGAAGAGCAGGATGAAAAACCATGTTCTGAACCTTAGCAAAACCGTCTCCAACTCCAAAATACTTGGGATATTTTTTAATTATAGTAGCAACATTTATAACATACTTTATAACCCATTCAGCATTATCTCGACTAGGAAAATTGTTGAGTCGCCAACAAGTGATGGTTGTTGTCCAACGATTCGATGCAAAACAGAGCTCCCCGCCTGATAATCCAAGACAACAACTACGGGGATAATAGATAAACAAGTTTTCAGGTAATTCCAAAGCCCAAAAACACTTGTTTACACTATCATAAATAGTGATCAATGTATAATTAAGCCAAAAGAAGATTCCATCAACTACACCAGCAGATGATAACGAAGTCCCATCCAAAGAAGGATACAATGCATGAGGTACATCAACAATTAGCTTATAATCAGTCCACACATTAATCTCTGAAGAGAAACTTTCAATTGTTATACTACTCTGATAGTGTTCGCTAATTACATAACGAACTATAGTAAACGAGACAATGCCATGATCCTCACCTACCTTACAAGTAAATCCGATGTATGGATCATCCATAGAGATTGGAGTTTTAGGGACATCCAAACGCTGCCTTGTGGCAGGATTATAAACATAATAAACCCTATGCCTACTTCTAAGCTTATTGCATAGTAGAAAACCGTTGGAAGAAGCAACAATATACACTTTCTCACCAATAAAATTGACTGATTCATCCAAACTAGAACCGATTACAAGTGGTGATTCCTTTGATGAATAGAAGAAACAACTTTGGGAACGTTTCTCTAAGCAAAAGAAACCGAGTAGATAGGGTTCAGGCCACTGGAAACGGCGCCTGTAAATTTCAGCAATATACTTTCGCCAATTCTTCGATATGCATTTAAACTTTTCTAGCGATTTTAAAGGCAAACGATTCAGTATGTTGATTATGATTTCTTCACAAACAAACAATTTGCATCGACGACCTCGTTTCATTATTAATACGCACGAATTCGATTAGTCAGAGTTGAAATATCAAATGTCTGGAAATAAAAATCTCAAACTATGATATTATGTAACTAATGTTACTGGCTCAATCAAATTTTACATTTAAAAAAAATAAACAACTTTACGTTTTGAATAGGACAATAAACTATCTTAATTTTTTTTATTATTAACTAAAAATGAATTGGATTATTGCATATATAATTAAATTAGTTAGCTAGTGAGAACTTCTATCTAATTTAATACCAATTCATATGATTCAATTTCCTGTTTAAAAAAGAATGACACTTTATTAATATACGTCACTCACTCCATTTGCTATTATCCCCACAGTTGGATTTTCCTTCCCCCTTGGATTTGCCAATTTTTGCAATGATAGCATGGGTCACTATGAACTAGATCAAAATCATTCTCAACGTGTTCATAAGAAGTAATCTTATTTTTCTTATTGGATCCAAATAAAGACCAAAGATCTTGAACAACCGATCCAATAGAACAACTCAAAAGATAAAGAAGTATTGTAAATCTCTTCATGCTCATTCCAAGCTCGAAGTACAATTTCATCTTACCATTGCATTTAACAGTTTTAGTAAACATAGGAAAGATTTATATAATAATACACTAGTGCAAAAAAATCTTCTACTAGTATCCTTTTGACATAAAACAACCTTTTGAAGAGAATTTGCACAAGCATGGTCTTAGGTGCCCATATATGTAGCTTGTCTAGAAGCTTAAAATCACAACAATGAGATCGCAAATGATGCTCAATAATTACAATTGTAATATTAAGCATCTCTTAGAAGCTTTATGTTTACTCAAACTCTTCAAAAATATATATAGATAAGTGTCAATAACATAGCTCACAAACTCTTCAAAAAGATGTCTCCGACTATGTGTTGGCCTCCAAAATTAGGGCATTTTCGGAGGATTGGACACGGAGTGTGACAAATTTTGAGAGTCCAAGCAACACAGCTTAACAGTAGGTAAACCCAGGGTGTGTACTTCTGTCATGAACTTAGAAAATATATCAACCAGGCAAAACGACAGTGTTCCATAGCTGAGATAAAGCCATGGCATGCCAAATAACTTTGGAAGACAACAATCTCACATAGTGAAGGAAAAGTGAAACATCAGGTGACATGTCTTTATAGTTTACATTAGGAAAAAGCCTAGAAAGACCACAGACAATTCAAATTACACGGGTTCTATCAAACATCGTTTCCATGAAGACATAGAGAGTTCTAAAATCTGCAACACATTGTGTAGTTCCTTCATGAAATCTAGTCGATGCAGCAGCCAGTTATTACCATGAACCCTCAGCACCAACAGTTGGATTCTGGAAAGCAGAGAAGTTCCAGAAAGTCTTCAATGAGTATGGCTGAGAAATTGTTACTCCCTCTTCTGTGATTTTTGCAATCTGCAAGTCCGAGAAACATCAGAATAAAATCACAAAGAAAGAGCAGACAAATCTCACAATTCTATTATCTAAAATGAACTTGATGATGAATTCTGTATCAGAAAGGCAATCTATACATCCAATCATCCCGTTCACCTCCAAATGCAAAGTTTGCAGCAAGTTTCTGTTTAAACTTTCCTAGCCAACAACCTTACCGTTATTTTTTCCCTATTTCAAGCTTAAGTGCAAAAACAAGAAATCAACCTTCAGTCAACCACAATAGATATCTACATGGAGCAAATCTAGGAAGCAAATGCTATGAGCTTTGAAGATCAAAGTATGAGCTCTTCTGCTTCCACTAGAGCACACTAAACCTGTCTTATTGTTCATATCTAGTAGAGAAGTACCTCAAAAAACTAAAAAGGATGATTGGTGCCAGAAATAAATAGTGGTAGATTTTTATTTTTTATTCTAGAAGGAAAACAGTTATAGATTATGAAAATACAGAATCAGACTATAGTCTTGGTACTTGCGGGGATGACAACAGATGCAAAATTCAGAGCTTTAGACCCACAATTAAAACTATAAGTACCAGGAAACTCATAAACTACAGGTTTGACGAAAGAAGTTCAGGGAACACATCTTGGCAAGTTAGAGGTATCATTCGGATTTGTTCTTAAGCACTGACTTTCTACCCAAACCCCAGAAGGACTGTACCTGAAGCTTGTTGACTGCAGATCTGTCTCGATACAAAAGCACACGCATACATTTCTCCAATAACTTAACGCCCTCTTCATAACTCAAGTTTTCATGCCATTCGTCACGGAGAATGGGCCTTGCAAGGTGATTCCCGAATCCAGTAGCCACATGGTTGTCCTCGTAATGCACACCAATCATACTAACCTAAGGAATAAAAGAAAAAAACACAAGCATTATCAGTAGGGATGCAATTGAGACAAAGTGTATAAAATTAAGCAAGACAATGTATTGTGTTTTACTGTTCCAAGATACTTCTGTCCATTTTTCACTCCACCAAGAACAAGTGAATTCCAAAGTGGGTTGAACTTGTTGCGACGATTATACATCACACGTGTTAGGTAGTTATGCACTTCTTTGGGACCCAAGGAGTTTCCATCATCCCACATGTTGTCATACAGGCTGCATTTATGAAGAATTGAATACCAGAAGTCACTAAGTAATTTCCAACAGACGCAGATAGGCGAAACTGTTGCCCGTCAAAACTTATATAAACAATAACAATAAACAAGAATAACAAGGAGGAGTCCTCAGAAGGACAGACGTACATAAGCTCATCAAGGTACTTCATTATCTCCTGAAAATCACTTATTTCACCACTTGCACCAAGAAGGGAGTGCTTTCCCACTGGCTTTAATCGCTCCACACTCTTGTAACGTATCGTTGAACCATAGGAACCTGTAAACGGAAAAAACAGAAGATGACAACACATACTACATTATGTATCAGAGGGTGTATTTAACATCAGATAATATAAAAATGTGAAAAGAGAATGTCGTTAGGAGATCTTTCAATTCTCTATCCCTTTTCCATAGTGATGAAACCATGTAATATACTTTTTTGAAAAAAGAGAAGCACTAATTGGGACCAAATCTATGATATAAAAGCTAACCTCCCATGTCAGCTGCCAAGAGAATACCATCTTTGTACTTGATGCCGACAACTGATGTCCCAGTCACATATGGATACCTATTGAGAACAATACAAGTTAAAATTGCAAACATCTAGAGCACAGTAAGCAAAGAGTTATAAAGGAAAATTACAAAAATACAATCTCAATGCACGAGTGAGCATATATCCATAAGGTTAAAATTTGCTGCATGACATAACTGGTACTCTTACACCTAACTACATCTCCCATGCATGCAAAGGATATGGTATATACAAAGAGCTGCACATCCCTTCCAACAGGCAGATACTCTCTCATTCAATAATTTTAATATGTTATACGACTCTACTTCTCACTACAACAATAATAACAACAACATACCCAGTGTAGTCCCGTAAGTGGGGTTTGGAGAGGATAGGATGTACGAAGACCTTGCCCCTACCTTTGTGGGGTAGAGAGGTTGCTTCCGATACCCTCGGCCCTCCTCACTAAAGGATTTTAATACCTAGCTCATCCTCTGTAATGCTTTTGTTTTCACTTTTTGGCGTATATGAAGATTAAGTCCAACAACTTAAAAGCATAAGCAGCTACAACATCCCAGTGAAATCCCACTGGTAAGAACATAAGCAGCAGAAACAGATAAATACAGTTTGCAAATTCCTTTCTGGACCAGATATATCTGCAAATTCCTTTGTGGCCCGGATGTATCCCAGGAAGCAAAATTCATCAAGAGCCACACAACATGTGATCTCAACTTAACCCCGCACCTCATTCCTTCTACTCAGAAAACAAAATTACAGGTTCATAATACCATAAGCCACAAAGACTGAGAACTCCGGTAAAGATCATAAATCAATCGCTTGGCATGGCAGAAATGTTCCAGAAAAATGTTGATGTTGTTTTTCTGAAATAAACTATTTTCAGCTAAAAGGGAAATAGATGTTACTTATGAGCATAAGTCATTTTCCTTTATAAGTATCTAAACTCTTCATCACTTGGCTCAACTAATACTTAAACATTGTTGTCAATCTTAAATACTTAAAGAGTATCACTAGAAAATATCTGTATACACATATTCTTCCATCTTGTATTACTACCATATGTCACATACTTTCACACCTAACCAAACACCGGCAAACGATCCAACACATATTTTTTCACTAAAAGAAACTTATTTTCGAGTGAAAACATATTTCTACCTAGAACATTTTCCTCCATATTCAATGCTCTTCACCAGCACCTTCATATACATAGGTACATCTAGGATTAGATGCTTATGGAATCTGGATAGTAACCATTTTGTGTTACTGCATCCTAAATTAATAATGTCTACATATTAAACAGGTTTTTTTTAAGACAAATCCAAGGTCTGGAAACTTTGGACAAAAGCTATTGGATTATGCAAAACTCGTACCTTCTACTCTACCCCCACCTCTGTAAATGTTTATAAAACAACCAAATGTGCCTAAAGGCATCCCCACCACACAAATGGAAGTTCAAAAAACTCCGCCTGAAAAGCATTACTTTTGCTGGTAACTCTTGCAGTAAAAACATTCTTAAACATACGTATCAACAAAGAAATAACTTAAGCCTAGCTAATAGCACCAAGAAAAACACTCAACAACAACATACCCAATGTAATCCCAAAAGTTGAGACTGGGAAGGGTAGTGTGTACGTAGACCTTACCACTGCCTTGGGAGGCAGAGAGGTTTCCTACAGACCCTTGGCTCAGAAGAACTAAGAAAAACACCCAAAAAATACCTTTTTTTCTCTTTGGGGAAATTGGGGAGGAGATTACAATGTGGTAAATCCAACCTTACCAACTAGGTGAAAGTTCAGGTAGCAAACCAACCGACCAATTGAGCTACTAAAACTATGTCCTTCTAATTCTTTGTAAAATAAGAACAAAAACCCTATTCCGTAAAACATCAAACACACTGCAAATCAGATCTGTAAAATCTCATAAAACGCAAAGAGTGAAAGAGAGTACATACTGTGTTCTCTGAATATCAGATTCGGGA